GGTGCGCGATGAGATGGACAAGCGGTATCGCGAATGGAATGATGATGTTGAGGCCAACCGCAAATTGGAGGACTATTATGCCGATCGGGGTGCATGGCTCCGCAGCCGGGCGGCATTCCGAGCCCGGGAGGTCAGCATGGACGAAGCGGATCGGGCGGCGGAAGAAAGAGAACGGGCCCGGTCCGTGCAGCAACGGGAGCAGGCCCGCGGCATGGCAGACGACTTCCTCGCTCGGCAGGCCGAAGAGCTGGAGTCACGTACCCAGGCTCCCCGCGAACCCCAGCGATTCAAGCTTTCTCTCGGCGCAGCCGCGCAGAAGGCTCAAGCTGCCACCTCCCGCCGCACTATCGCGGAGGTCGAAGGCTTGCTGGAAGACGAAGAGGAGCCACAGGCCACCGCCAGACGACCTCTTATCCCCATCAAGTTCGACAGTGCTGCCGAAGCGGCTGGCCTGTCCGACGAGGAACGCGCACAAGTCGCCCGACAACTGGCTGCGGAGATCCCCACGGACAAGGAGGGACTCTGGAACTGGGATGTCAAGTGGGAGTTTGTGGACGAGAGTGTGGTCACCGAACAGCTCAAGCCTTTTGTGGAAAAGAAAATTGTCGAATACCTGGGCGTGCAGGAACAGATGTTGGTGGAAGTGGTCGAGGAACATGTTCGAAAGCATGGACAACCTCAAGAGCTGGTGGAACAGCTGGAGGAGGTAAGTTATCTAACTGAGATTCGTTGTTTGATCTTAACTAACTGGGTACCACTAGGCTCTCGACGAAGAGGCAGAGGTGTTGGTCCGGAAGCTATGGCGGATGATTATCTTCTTCTCGGAGAGCGAGAAGAGAGGTCTTTCCGGGTAGACGAAAGATTTCATTGTTTTCTTGGGGTCCAGTACTGTTATGAGTCACAAAATGAACCAAATGAACTGGATCGCGGCGTATTCGTGCTAGAACTACTTCTTGCGCAAGGGTGTGTTGCATTGCATTGCATTCCCGCATCTGTCCCAACCTACTTTGTAACTTATATCATGTCGTAGCAGATTCCTGCTTCCCTCGTAACACATCAAGCTCATCTTAGCCTTACTCTTCCCCCACGCCAGAATATCCACTGACAGTCACGCGGGCCTCCAGGAAAAAAAATCACTCACTTTAAGGCCTGGATTGAAGTTGATTGAATCCAGAAGAGCTGTGAGTGGCGGAGAAACCCATCCCACGGCCAGCCACAATTCCTCCGCCAATCGGGCGGGGTTTCCCCACACGACGTGGAGGGGAAACGGGGGAAAGGCCAGTCCCCTCCCCCGCTATATAATCATCCATCGTCCCCTCGACGGGGGTTTCTTTTGCAATTCACAGACCTGGAATATTTCCAATTGACCCCGCCTCAACCAGACAAGATGGTCAAGATCACCAGTTTCACCACGCGGGACGTGAGGTTTCCGGTATGGCAGACCCTCCAACATGTTTACCCCTCTCTGTTTACTCTTGCCCTCCTGCCCCCGCAGCTTGCTAATCCACATCACGTTCATGACAGACCTCCCTCGACAAGACCGGTTCCGATGCTATGAATGCCGCCGGTGACTACTCTGCCGCCTACTGTATCATCTACACCGATTCCGAATACGCTGGACATGGCATGGTAAGCCGATCGTCGCCTAGGCGAACCGAAACAAGCCCCCAAGACGAGACTAATTCTGAAGATAGACCTTCACGATTGGTCGCGGTAACGAGATCGTCGCCTCTGCCATTGAGCTCCTTGCCCCTCTCGTCGTTGGCAAGGACCTTGACGAGCTCACTGCTGACTGGGGCAAGACCTGGCGGTACCTGGTGTCCGACAGCCAGCTGCGCTGGATCGGTCCCGAGAAGGGTGTCATCCACCTGGCCCTGGGAGCTGTGGTCAATGCGCTCTGGGATCTGTGGGCCAAGACTCTTCAGAAGCCTGTCTGGCGCATTGTCGCGGACATGACTCCCGAGGAGTTCGTCCGCTGCATTGACTTCCGCTACATCACCGACGCGATCACCCCGGAGGAGGCTATTGCTCTCCTCAAGGAGGTCGAGGGCGGCAAGCAGGAGCGTATCAAGGAGGCCGAGCAGAGCCAGGCCGTGCCGGCCTACACGACTAGTGCCGGTTGGTTGGGCTACTCCGAGGACAAGCTCAAGGCGCTGCTCAAGGACAGTGTGGCCCAGGGCTACAAGCACTTCAAGTTGAAGGTTGGCGCGAACGTCGAGGAGGACCGCCGGCGGTTGGCGATTGCCCGTGAGGCGATCGGTTACGATAAGGGCAACATCTTGATGGTGGACGCCAACCAGGTATGTGCTTGCCTTTGCCTAGTTTCATTCCTTTGTCTGTCATCGGTCAAAGCAAAAAGCTCGAGTGACTAACCCCACGGTGTGTCAAATCAGGTCTGGTCCGTCCCCGAGGCTATCGAGTGGATGCAGCAGCTCGCCGAGTTCAAGCCCTGGTTCATCGAAGAGCCCACCTCCCCCGACGACATCCTCGGCCACGCCGCCATCAAGAAGGCCCTCGAGAACACCCCGCACGGCCCCATCGGTGTGGCCACGGGCGAGATGTGCCAGAACCGCGTCGTCTTCAAGCAGCTCCTGCAGGCGGGAGCGCTGACCGTCCTCCAGGCCGACGCCTGCCGTGTCGGTGGTGTCAACGAGGTGCTGGCCATCTTGCTGCTGGCCCGCAAGTTCGGCGTCCCCATTGTCCCCCACTCCGGTGGTGTCGGTCTGCCCGAGTACACCCAGCACCTGAGCACGATCGACTACGTGGTGGTCAGTGGTAAGAAGAGTGTCTTGGAGTATGTGGACCACCTGCACGAGCACTTCGTGCACCCCTCCAGTGTGAAGGACGGCTACTATGTCACGCCTTTGGAGCCTGGATACAGTGTCGAGATGAAGCCCGAGAGTATGGATCAGTTCGCATTCCCCGGTGAGGAGGGCAAGAGTTGGTGGCGGACGGAGGAAGCCAAGACTATTCTGGAGGGTCCCCGGATTGTATAGTTGATGGGTATGATATGTTACGAATGATTTTGTATATAGATCGCTGAAGCGAAATGAGAAATGTGCTCTTGTTCTTGGTCATTTAGTGTACGATACCAAGCACGGCTTGAGTAAAATTACCGAGGAGTGAAAGCGGAGCAGATGGTCTAGCTGCGTATGCTGTGGGTGGACTGGAAAGAGCGGTAGAGATGGACTTCCTTCTTCTTGGGTATATAGGTCTGTTTTTAAATCATGATAGTACTAAGAATGGCGAGAGGCTCTAGACGTTCCTCGTCAATCTTCACCATGTCTGAGCTCACGGATAGAGTTGTAGATGGGTCATTCCAGATACACTCCCTTGCAGCAGCAAGCATGCAACAACTCATCGCCATTGAATGCCAAAGATCTTGAGCGCCTTTCCGACTCCAGGCTTTTCGCGTGCCTGCTCTAGGACGACTCGGGGGTGGCCTATAAATGTCAGTCAATCCATCTATCCAATCTACCCCTTAAAAAAAGCACTCGCACTCACCTTTGACTTCCAGGGCAAGCAGCTGGTACTCCCACTCATACTGGTCCAAGGGCTTCATCATATGCACGAACACGATACCGGTATTGAGAGGGCCCTCGACCTTTACCACGCAGACAGTCAATAATGTAATCCCGGGCTGAAACCACCACTCCACGGGGAGAAACAACGTACATGGAAATTCATCTTCAAATGTTCGCGGCCCATTCGATCCTGGAAAACCGACGTCCTGCGCCCACATGCAAATTAGCACTCAGAACGTTATTCCTCGCAAAAGTATACGAGGTATGGTATGGGTATGTATGGCCTTACGCAATCGGTCGGTTCCGAGCCCATCGGCTCCAGGTACTATCCCCGTACACCTTGATTTCCCTGCGATCACCCAGGAGATCCGTACACCGCGGGTCGTCCTTGATGCGCTCGACTGCCTTTTCGAACTGCCAGGTCTTGCTGTTGGGAGAGAAGACCTCGGTGTAGAGGAGGTAGAACACTCCACCCTGGTACATGAAGCTGTTAGATTCGGTTCAGAAGACGCAGCAGGCGTAATGTAATTGTGCGAGCGACAGCGCAAGAAAAAAAAAGAAAAAAAAAAGACAGACTCACCGTCAACACGGCACCAGCGACGACCACGAGGAAGTTGACCGACTGCTGTGTCGCCCGCGCGACCTTCTCCCGACCGCTCAGCTCCCCCCACTCGTACCGGCCATCGTCGGACAGGACTGTCACGTTCCTTCGTTTGGGGGTCGGGTTGGATCCGGGCCCTGAGGTCGCATAGTATCGCGCGAGGGCGGTCGTGCGGGGAAGCGCTCGACGCAGGAGGTGAGCGGCGGTGGAGGAGGAGGAGGCCCGGAAGAGGGCAGGGTTAGGTCGGAGGTGGGCGAGCATTGTGGTGAGGGGCTAGTTCAGCTGAGTACCAGTAAAGGCCTCATGGAACGAAGAGTGGCTGTTGTGGTTGAGAGATGGTGAACATGGGCAGACGAAGCACAAGTTCGGGGGTTGTCTGCGCAATCTTTACTCTTCCCGCCGGGCAGAAATGAAGCAGGAAGCCATGGATTGGATGGATCCCATTCGGCGACGGCAAAGGCCGACTTGAATGGAAGAAGAAAGCGTGTGGGGGTGCGGAATCGGAGTGGGTCACGTGCGAAAGGGCCCTGGCCTGGTTTCAGCCGCCGCCGTTGCATACAAAACACTCGTATTTGCAATACGTCTGCCGCCCACAGTCCTGTAGGTAGTAGCTACGTCAAGGTATGATTTTCATGGATCACTATGAGGAACTCCTGTCAGCTCCCTAGGTGAGGAGATATGTGGCAGTCAACTGAGTTGCTGTTTAGCTGAGCCAGGGATTTTTTTTTCTTCGAAGCTCGCGCTTGTTTGTTTGTATGCCTCCTGTGTTTGCCACAACGAGCAAGGTATGGTTGTTGCAGAAGTGCCACTAGCTTAAAGTGAAAAATACCGGGGTGGTACTCAGTCCCAATCCGACCACGTTCGCTCGCTCTTCCCGGGCTGCTTTTTGGATCCTGTCGTTCTCCCTCATCTCCGACCGATCTCCCTCCCTACCCCCTCTCTCCCTTTGTCTTCGACATCTACTCGGATTCTGTCTCCTAATCTGAGTCTTCTCCTTCTATTCAACACCAGCCATCATGTCTGCCTCCAAGGCGGAGTCTCAAAAGATCTTTGAGAAACTCAAGCTGAAACCCGCAAACAAGGTGCGCCGTACCCCTCCCCGCCTAGCAACCGATCTCAGTACTGACTCGATTCCGCACAGATCTGCTTCGATTGTGGCTCCAAGAACCCAACATGGTCCTCCGTGCCTTTTGGTATCTACCTGTGTCTTGACTGCTCGGCCCATCATCGTAACCTGGGCGTCCACATCTCCTTTGTTCGCTCCACGAACCTCGACCGTACGCAACTCCTGACCAACAATCCTATCGTGATGCTAATGACTGGCGCATAGAATGGCAATGGGAGCAGCTCCGGATGATGAAAGTCGGTGGGAACGAGTCTGCCACTAAGTACTTCCAATCGCATGGAGGGTCTGCCGCTCTGGCCAGCAAGGACACCAAGGTCAAGTACACATGCAATGCCGCCGTCAAGTATAAGGAGGAGCTGAAGAGACGGGCCGCTCAGGATGCGCAACAGTGAGTCTCTTGCATGCACATCCCCCATAGCAATTCGTACAGTATGGGGTCTGATCGTACGCTACCTCATTAGGTATCCTGAAGAAGTGGTGATCACCGACATCCCCGTCGGCACCTCGTCCAACGGCTCCAGCACCCCGGCCGGTGACGCTGATGACGATTTCTTCTCCTCGTGGGACAAGCCGTCCATCAAGCGGCCAAGCAACCCTCCTTCCCGCACGGGTACCCCTCCCGTCGTGAGTCGCACCGCATCGCCCTTCCTGAACTCGGGTGCCAACGGCTCGCGCTCCAAATCCCCGCTTTCCGCCTCCGATAAGGACAGCCCTGCTGCCTCTCCCGCGCCGGCCGCTATCCGGGCCAGTGCTGCTGTTCGCAAGACCTCCTCGACCGCAGCTGCGAAGAAGGGCAGTGTGTTGGGCGCCAAGAAGGCCCCCAAGCTTGGGGCTAAGAAGATTGTTAGCGGTGCGGACATGATCGATTTCGACGAGGCGGAGAGAAAGGCCAAGGAAGAGGCTGAGCGCATCGAGAAACTGGGTTACGATCCCGAAGCCGAACGGGCTGAGGCTGAGTCCAAGGCTAAGGGCACCACCGCCGCCGCGCCGATAGCCTCCCCTACCCCCATCAACCCTTCGCGGGCAACTCAGGAACGGAGCTCTGGTGATGTGGAGCGCCTTGGAATGGGCATCGGGAGACTGGGATTTGGACAGACTGTTGGCGCACCGAAGCCTCCTGCTCCGAAGAAGTTGGGCTTTGGCGCTGTTGCTACCAGATCTGCTGCAGATGGTTCGTTCTCCTGTCGATTTGTAGATGTAGTATCGGTTGCTAATAGTCTCACAGACGAGGAACTGAAACAGGCCAAGTCCAGATTTGGCACTCAGAAGGGCATCTCGTCGGATGAGTTCTTTGGACGGGATCGCTTCGATCCTAACGCCCAAGCCGAGGCCAAAGAGCGTCTTCGTCAATTCGATGGAGCCACTGCTATCTCCAGCAACACCTACTTCGGCCGCCCTGAGGACGATCTTCCCGCCGAGAGTGACACCTATGGAGACATCGAGAACGCGGCGAAGGACTTTGTGCGTCGGTTCGGTATCACAGCCGGTGATGATCTCGAGAACCTGACGCAGCTGGTTGGAGATGGTGCCGTCAAGCTACAGGGTAAGTCTTTGTTCTACTCACTTTCTTCGCAGGAAAATCATACTGACAAATTTTTGCTCTACAGGTGCTATACGCAGCTATCTTAACAGCTAAACGAGTCCCTTTTTTTGTCGTACCTAACGCCTTCAATTCCCCGCTTCTCGCACCCATCTTGATCTTTTTGTGTTAGCCAATTCTATCTTCGATCTCCTTCCACATGTGGCGTTTACATCCTCATGAACTTTCTATTCCCCAGATTCGTACCATTCCTAGACAGACAACTAACCCGGTCGACTTCCATCCGGACGTGCAGTGCTTCGCAGGCTGCTAGACCCCGTCATCACTTGATGCGGTGTAGACCAGACCGGCCTTTGCTCGTCACTCGTTGCTCTTTTTTCTTTTCCCTTCTTCAAAATTACCGTCAACAATTGTTTTGCTACCAGCTTCGAAACGCTCCTTGGGATTCTTGTATATTCGTTGCATATAAGTAGTGTCACTTGCCAGTATTAGGAAACCGCATCAATGTAAACGCCTAGCATTGGGTTCTTTCGATTCATGGGATGCAACCGCACTAAGGACAATCTCGGTCTATATAAGTCGGAGCCACCAGATACAAATCCTATACGCAAACAATTTTGTTGGGAGGGGGGGGGGGGATCTTATACGACTCCCCTATAAATGGCATCCGCCACCCTCCCGACCTGCCACATCTCCTTCACATCGTGCACGCGCACGATATCGGCGCCTCCAGCGATACTGGCCGTGACCGTGGCGGCCGTGCCCCAGGTGCGCTCACTGGCCTTAGTCACGCCGGTCAAGCGACCGACGAAACGCTTGCGGCTCGGCCCCAACAACCAGGGGAAGTACTCGAGGCCTTCGACGGCGGCGCCAGTCCGCAGCTGGGGCAGGTCGCGCAGGAGGGCGAGATCGTGGGGCTCGTTCTTGGCGAACCCAAGGCCGGGGTCGAGGATGATGCGCCAGCGGCGGATCCCGGCGGCCTCGGCGGCGGCGATGCGGTCGCGCAGCTCGCGGCCGACGTCCTGGACGACGCCGTTGGGGTAGTCGGTCAGCTGGGTCATGGTGGCCGGGGTGCCGCGCATGTGCATCAGGATAACGGTGGCGCCGGTGCGCGCGGCGGTGGGCAGCATCTCCGGGTCCAGCAGGCCGGCCGAGACGTCGTTGATGATGTCGGCGCCCACCGCGACGGCCGCCTCGGCCACCCGCGCCCGGTACGTGTCGATGCTGATGGCCACGCCCGCCGCCTCTGGGATCGCCGTCCGGATGTGCCGGATCGCCGGCACCACCCGCCGCAGCTCTTCAGCCTCCCCGACGGGCTGCGACCCCGGCCGCGTGCTCTCGCCGCCGATGTCGATGATCGTCGCCCCCGCGCGGATCATGCCGCGCACTGTCGCCGTGAGCGCGTCCAGGTCCTGCGGCGAGTGGCGTCCGCCGTCGGAGAAGGAGTCCGGCGTCAGGTTGAGGATGGCCATGATGTGCGTGCGGCGTTTCGGGGCTGTGGAGTGGATGGCTGGGAAGGTGGAGGAGATCGGGGTGGTGGCCACGGGGAAGGGCGTGGGCGGGGCGAGGGATTTCAGGTGTGCGAGGTAGGTGGTGCTGTAGCCGGGGAAGGGCGGGCGTTCGTGGGGGATGAGTCTGGCGGTGATTAGCTTTTCTGTTTGAGCTTGGGTTTGGGTGTCTTGAGGAGGGTCCATCATAGTGAAGACCTACTGACTCAGTGGGCGAAGGACGAAGTCGCGCTCCAGCATCAGTTGGTGTGGGATGCTGAGCCGTTCGTGGGAGAAGATCTGCTGGTCGTACAGGAGGATGTCCAGATCAATAGATCGGGGCCCTTTGTCGATGAGCTTCTTCCTGCCCAGGCCGATTTCAATGGACTGCAGGGTGTCGAGGAGATCCATGGGGCTTAGGCTGGTTTCTACCTGTAGATCGATGTTAAGAACCATTGAGAATGCATTGTTTCTGGGGATTTATGGGCAGAGAGAGATGGACAAACCTCGCACACTCCATTGATGAATGGGTCCTGGTCGAGAACGTACATGGGAGCTGTCTCGAAGAGCGAGCTGGTTCTCTTGACCCGAATACTGGCTCGCTCCATCTCACGACAGGCGGCCTCAATCATCTCGATGCGATCTCCTACGTTGCTCCCAAAGGCGATGAATGCGCGATGCATTGGGGGCTGATGGGCGTCCATGCTGGCGTTGAACAGCGCCTGTCGGCTAGTTGAAACCCGTCTTATGAAAGGTCTGGATGCTAAGCCTTCATGACCGGGTTTCCTCGGTCTTGATGCAAGTAAAGATCGTCTCACCAAAGAAGGTCGGGACTGTACATGTCCTAATTAGGGGTTAGCTAGGGCTATGAAAACTGCGATGTAGAAGGGAAAAAAGTTCACTAGACGCTAAGGGGTTCTAGAAACAAGCATCAACAGGCCATTGGACTGCGAGGGTGGGTCTAAGGGACTCCATACCAGATGTAGACAATTCTCTATGAGGGGCGTGGGTTAGATTTAGTTTCAACGGGCAACTTTGACTGGCAAATAGACCTGCCTCTTCGGTGAGCCTACACTCGAGGAGTAGGCACTTCCACCAGGCCGTCCGAATGACTGGGACAAGCAAATCGAGGCCCCACTGAGCCGGCTCAGTGAACCGGAAGACCGAAGGGCGGTATTCAAGGTGGCAGCATTGCGATACCAAGTGGAAGAGGACCGATATGCCATTCTTCAGGCGCCCAGGACGGAATGCAGCAGAGGTTACCAGCGGCGAATGCGAATGCGTGGGAGAGGGAGAGCGGAATACGTCATGCGTCAGAGCGACAGAGCGACAGAAGCCCGAGCGAGACTTTGGCGCCCCCTCAGTCAGCTGATTTGATGCGGTTGGTGCCTGAGGCATGAAGCGCAATTCTGCCGCGACGCCGCGCCTCTCTCTCTCTCCCCGCATTTCCACATTTTGCCTTCAGAGCTAATCGGTGCCAGCGCACGGTCACAAAGTTGAAGCCACTCGATAAGTAAAAAGCACTACTACATTAAACTTCAAGTAGAAAAACAAAGTTGTTGAGTTTCTATAGGAATTTAGTTTAGTATATACAGTACTTGCAACTCTCAACGAAAAGGTAATGCGCTTAGATTGCTTGCTCACCTATATGAGAGTATAGTAGAGTTCCTTTGTACTCAGTATCTGCTTGCTCATGACGCTGAATTGAGGCTGATTGTACGGAGTACACAGTTACACAAACACGAACAAGTACACTAAATAAATCATGTGCTCATGGCCAACAACCCTTGACGGCTGGATGGCCTGAGGCAAGTGTGACGAGGCGGGAGTAGGTAGCCGTCCGTCTGATCGATGATCATCATCTCGACTGGACCGAGGCACAACCCCCGGGGCAATCCTCACTCCTCGGTTCTCCCTCCCCCCTCCTTGTTTGCAATTCTTTATGACTTCTAGTCACAGTTGCTTTCTTTCAAATCCTTTTAAATACTTCTCCTGAGCGTCTTCCATCCCACATCAATCTCCATCTTATCTTGATCTAGCGATACCCACTTTGCAGCTCCGTCCTTCTAGCCCTTGAACATGGCTTCTCCTCGTAAGCTTCCGTCGCTACCTACCCCGGATTCTACCACTGTCACATGTGTGACAGCTGTGGTACCCCCAGACGACTTTTCAAGACCCTTCCTGCTAACCACCACACTTTCAATATACAGAGCAAATCCGTACCACCCTCACCGATCTTTTGAAGATCAACCACCCCATCCTGCTGGCAGGAATGAACGTGGCCGCTGGGCCCAAGTTGGCCGCAGCGGTCACCAACGCCGGTGGCTTGGGAGTCCTTGGAGGTATCGGCTACACCCCCGACATGCTTCGCGAACAGATTGCCGAACTCAAGAGCTTCCTGAAGGACCAGAACGCACCCTTTGGTGTTGACCTGTTGCTTCCCCAGGTTGGCGGTAGTGCTCGGAAGACCAAGTGAGTAGTGGGACTAGTCTCGCATGTGATTTGCCGATCATCTGGATCGTATGACACGGTCGTCTTGTGGGAAGAACCGGAGTCGCTAATCCTGTCTCTCGTCAGCTACGATTACACCAAGGGCAAGCTCAACGAGCTGATCGATATCATCATCGAGAGTGGCGCAAAGCTTTTCGTTTCGGCGGTCGGTGTGCCCCCCAAGCATGTCGTCGAGAAGCTGCACGGTGCGGGCATCCTCTACATGAACATGATCGGTCACCCCAAGCACGTGCAGAAGGCTCTGGATGCCGGTGCCGATATCATCTGCGCTCAGGGTGGTGAAGGAGGCGGTCACACCGGCAATGTTCCCACGACCATCCTCATCCCCACGGTGGCCAAGCTGTGCCAGGGGCGGAAGAGCCCCTTGACTGGCAAGCCTGTGCAGGTGGTCGCTGCCGGTGGTCTGTACAACGGCAACTCCGTCGCTGCTGCGCTCATGCTGGGTGCCTCGGGAGTCTGGATTGGTACTCGCTTCATCCTCTCCGAAGAGGCCGGCGCTCCCAAGGCTCACCAGGAGGCTGTTCGTACCGCTGGCTTTGAGGACAACGTTCGCACCATCATCTTCACGGTACACTCACCTTTCCAGTGTTAACCCTCGAGTGACATGTGGCTAACAAGGCATAGGGTCGCCCGCTCCGCGTCCGCAATAACGAATACATCCAAAACTGGGAGGAGAACCGACGGGACGAGATCAAGCAGCTGACCTCGAAGGGCATCATCCCCGTCGAGCACGACATGGAGAATCTCCCCGACGATGTCGATGACTCGGTGCTTGAGAACGCACGCCCTTACCTCATGGGTAAGGTCGCTGCCGTGGTCAACGAGAAAAAATCCGCCAAGGCGATCGTTGACGAGCTTGTGACGGATGCCGCTGCTTTGTTGCAGAACGGCCACAAGATGCTTGCCAAACTGTAGATACCAATTTGCCTGATACCTATGTTGCATATGTTTCCAAAATTTTTGGCCTGTGCTAATCTGCTTTTTTTGCTTCTCGACGATGCTATCATACGCATTATAGCTATTGGTTATGACCCACTGAGTGATTGAAAACCCTTAGGTCTGTCTTAGATATAGCTTCAATCGACTGGGTGACTACTTGCTAGTACATAAACACATCTCTTTATAAGACTGGCGTTTGATTCCGTAAGGAAAATTGACCGTCCAAATAATTTGGAATAAGCTGAATATGAATATGCGCTCAGTTCTTCGCCCAGATGGCCCCTGCATATCCCTGGCGAGTTTCCTTCCTCTTGAATCAGCCTACCTCAAAGCTTTTACGTCTCCACCCGTCCAGCAAGTCATTTCTTGCGTCGCGTTCATGGTCGAAGCGAACACTGATACTGAACCAGGGAATGCCCATAGCACATCCAGCTTCTGTCAGCACACGCACCCCACAGCCATACAAGCAGTTATGTTACCACTGCACGCTTCCCCAGGACTGCGGATTCAGCAACTCGGTTCATGACAGGATCATAGAGAGCTGCCTTCTTCAACCGCACAGTACATTACTTGTTCGCATCCGCGAAATGATCTCACAGGGCTTACACTTTCGGAGCCAAAGAATGGCAATGAACTTCGAGACGGGCATTTGCTGATCAAAGGCTCCGATACTCAAGACAACACAAGCCGCCATGGCATGGCAGAGGAATTAAAATCTCTTGGAGGAATGTCCACGCCCGACATCTTGTGCTGAGCAGCCAGAGTGATTAGTTACACACGGGGACTCGTTTGCGCTTTAAGGAATAGTAATATTGTACAGTGCAGTAGGCTGCAGACCTCCGCATGTGTTGGTAGCATGAGTCACTTCAAGAATCATAATTCAACAAAGCCCCACGCCGCGGACCGCCTAACCATCGACAGTACAATGGATGATGATGTTTAAGACAGCATAGACACCGTGCCCCGGACCTGCAGAAACATCTGCTTTCCACCGACTTGTCACGATTCGCCCAAAGATGCGCCAGTGGTGATGAGATCAAGAATGCCGCCGATCAGCAGTCAGCTGGGTGGAACATGCAGCCCTAGGCTGATCTGCGATACATGTTTAGCTGAGGAACTTTGAATTTGTAGAATAAAGTGCTTCCAGCCTTGTACTGCACTCGTCCAGCATTTTCCATGTATCTACACAGAGAGGCGATGCTCGCTAGTCCCCTGGCTGACACACACAAACAGGCGCCTGGTTCTGGGGTACAGAGGGGCTCACCCTGGCGCAATACGAGAAGCGCAAATGCATAGGGCTGCTTGAAGTTCTAGGGGCTGTCGATGATGGCTTACTACGCTATCTTTTCAGGGTTCAAAAGGGAACGGGTGGGCATCTGCATCCTTCGCTGTTGCGGTGTCCCCCAAGCCATGACACGATGCGGTACCTTAGTGCTCGCGAGCCGACGGCCCGTAGTAGGGATCGGCATTCCTAGGCTCTGTGTGCTGTGCTGGCACCGTCTCGGGTCAGTCGATCCATGTCATATATACCACCGAGTAAGTTTATGCTAAGAAAAAAGTGTGCAGGAAGATCACGGCGGCGGCGGCGGCGGCGGCAACCACTCCTTACACTGGGGTGCTGAGAGAAACCTTGACAGGTAATTCTTGCCATGAGATGAACGGCTTGCGAAGGCCGCTCGTTGGCAGCCTACTTCATCTCTGGGCCAGGCTTACAATGAACATCTGATTTTCATGCGGCTCATACTCGCGCCGGGCTATCGTGCTGTGGACCGTTGCCCATCCACCCTCGGTATCATAGTTGTGCTAAGACGAATAATAAAGACGACGTATCCCACTTCGGCATGAGACAGGTCTCGGTCCTGCAATGGCATCAATGGTCGGTTCACTCCAAGGTTCACTTCGCGACGTAGGTACACCCAGCGCCAATCCGGCTTATGACCGTCCAAGGGCGCGCCAAAGCAGCCGGTCGATGTCTAGCGCATGAATCCGCGGACACGAGTCCAGAAACTAAGAAGAGCAATGCATACAGTACAGACCCTACCGAAGCTGAATCTATACGGACCTACCACTCGTTCTGGGAAGGATGCGCCGATGCAATCCCATGAACGTGACAAGGAGAAGGACATCGATTAGTGGATAGGCAGGACGGGCACGGGACGGGGGTATCGCCCCGATCTCCGGCGATCGTGTACATGTCCCGATCCATTTCTAAGGAGAATGAGGACTTGTCGCAATAGAAAAAGGGGGACGATGAAAGAAGGAGAGCACGTACTTTCACACGTTGACGACACTAGACAACCGGGCTAAGCTCGCGGAAGCGGCACGCGCCTCGGATACATTCCGTTGGCGTCTTAGGCTTAGAGTACATAGCTTTAGAACCTCCAGGCAAAAAGAAAAAGTCAATGTCGGTGTTAAGCTTTAGAGCTAAGATTCATTTCTCGGAGGAGTCGGAGAAAATGGACTCGTTGAGGAATGGCTCTTCGGATTTTAGACTTTCTGAGATGCAGGCTAGCCTGGATGTGGTATGATTCCAGGAACGATGTCGGCGGCCAGCCTACCTCGCGGGAAATGAATTCCCGGGTTGAGATTCATATCGCTAGATGCTGGGTCTACGGGAACGTAATCAGTCTACTCGGCGGATAGGTTGTTGTTACATAGATGATGCGTAGTTGACACAACCGACTGTTAGAGAGTGTGGGTTGAGTTTGTACGAAGTACATCTTGTGGATGGTTTAGGTATTAAGGGTCAAGCGGAAGGGAGTCAGAAGTCTATATATATGCTAAAGGTACGCAGCTATATCTCAGATGCACGGGATCGGACATTGGCCCCCGGATCTGTCGACCTATATGCGCGGTGGATATAGTCGTTACATATATTTATTAGTGATTCTGAAATGCTATCTCGCATTGATGAGCTGGCGCTACAGGGATCCCATGAAGCGAACAATGTCGGCTACTTGACTCTAACCCACGCCGTTAACGCCATCTTATTATTAGTGCCCTACATGAAGGAGACAGCGACGCACATGTTAGCGGCTGCAGTCTGCCAGTTCGAGGGCTAACAGCCGACACTAACCGGGATGTCTCCTTGCTGTAGGTCGTCCACGGAAGTCTCTCCATGCGGATACCCATCGCATCGATAGGCCTCTTCCTCGTGCAGTTTAATTGAGAGGAAACCTCCAATTAGACTAGGTAATGCTACACCACCACGCAACACTCCCTGCATGTCTGCCGATAGTCCACCTTCGCGTTACATAGTACTCCGTATTGGAGGTATTGGTGGTGGTACTATGTGCGGTACGTACCTAGTAACTATAGCATGTCAAAAATCTTCCACCAACCGCCTAGTCAGCCCAATCACATCGACCCCGAAACTAAGGTACAGAATGACTGATCCTTCGGCCAGCCCGCTCAGCAAGAACAATTAGATCCAGTGCCAGCGGTTCGGGTCTAGTTCTGTTCTTTCATCGGCTCGGCAAAGTACCCGCTGACTAACGGATCGGAAAGAGAGGAAATACTCGGTGGAAAAAGCTCTCACATCCTCGATGATTAGAGGTTCAATTGGGGAACCTGACTCAATTGAATGGGAGTGATAGGATGGATCAAATGCTATATGCACGCGAATGAGAAACTCGGGTCTTCAAGTTTGCTCGGGAACCCGAGCCGAAGAGGGTACAAGGTACAGGATGGTGGTGGCTGCAGTGGAAACGGTTCAAACCCGCGCGTGCTGCGCTGTCCTGTCACGCGCGCCCGCCAAGCCTGATGAGAGAGAGAGTTTTCCTCGGGAAAAGAAGCAAGAAGAAAATTCATCTCCAAGGCTAAAATGGGGACTTGGAGGAGGTTTAGATGGATCTTAAGGCGGGCCCAGATATTTTTTGGTCTTCTTCTTCATCTCGTAGGGGTGGGCAGTTTGGAATGGCCGGAGGAAGGATCCATATCAAGAACTCGATCATTGTAAGGCCAGTCAACGCCTTCATGCACTCCGCAAGTAAAGTGTCCCTTGAAGCGCGAGTCGAGAATTCCCAATGTTTCGCGGCATCAAGGTCATGACAACCGTCTGCAGTCTATCCTGGTGCCTGGTTCAATTGTGGATTGCATTTAGTAGTCTAGCTCTTGTCAACGTTACGGCATATCCGGGTCCTGATGCCTTTCCTTCTCCCTTCATGCTTGCTCTTTTTAGAATGGCAGCTCCGAGAGCAAGCAAGCTCGCACCAATGGTAAAACGAGGCGCCGCTACCGAAGTTTCGGTTGCCTTGGGTGGGCTTGGCTTGCTGGATTATATGGATAATTCTCGCAAGGCGTTTTCTTCCTAACACCGGTCGTATACTGGTTGTCGCGAACGGGAAGCTAGGAGCTTGGGTTCATCGGGAAATTGAATAAAAATTCGAGTTTTGGTGTATGTAGGGGCAGTGACAAACACAATTTCAAGCACAGGTGGTGAGTTGCTCAATTGAGGTAACGTCCTCGACTGCTTCCTTATGCACAATTGCACATCCTGAGCGGAGCGAATGATCGACGCGACTCATGACGGTAGCCCTGAGAGGATTCCCCATACTTAGATTAAAAGAGGCGAAGGGATGATGTTGGGGAGCATCAGAATTGCCAGGCGTCTCAGAGGGACGGAAGGTGACAGAAGCCGACAGTTTCAACTCTCCCGAGTCATCATTACGCTGGTCTGGGCGATTAGAGGCAAAAAGCTAGGAAGAATACGGGAGGACGGAAACAGCGGAGTGGGGTGGTTTTTTCTTGCACCGGAATCTGGTGGAGTGCGAAGTTCGTGGAGATCCACATGTTAATGCTCGACGGTACGGGTACAGTGCGGTACCTGAACTGCATGGTTGATGACAGTCTGAAGACTTACAGAGCACGACAGAGTTGCCAGCGCCACCAGAGACGACGAGGTGTAAAGCCATCGCACGGATAGATGAATAGGGTCGGAATGCTATACTAATAGGGGACAGACCTCCAGACGCTAGACGCCGCTGAGCAGGGGACGGAAATTGCCATGTTGCAACATCAAACAGGATCTGTCCCTTCCGAGCTGACTATGTCGACATCCCTATAGGAGATTGCGGCCGAAGTGCATCCAGAACCTCCTTTGTCTTGCTCATCTACGGAGTAGTTAGATGCGACATCGCCATCTCCGGGATAGATTAATCGCAGGTAGGTGAACTAGGTTATGTCCAGAAAGGACAATGCAGTTATTAGGTCGTGGCCCTTGTAGCTGAGCTGGCAGCAATCTAATAACTCTTGCGCTAAAGACTGGTATCAGGCAATGGCTGACCCCCGGAAATATCCCTGCCTGGACGGGTGAAGTCGCAGTACTAAGGTACTAGTAGTATTAACTTCCTAAGTTTCTTATCTCATGCTGCAGGCGACCAATCACCAAGAGGCGTGGCCAGCTGCGAAATGAACCGCCACGTTCCAATCAAGCAGCGTCGATGAGCCGGGGGTTGAATGCGCCAAGTCGCACGCATCTCTTGGTGCTATTGCTTGTCTGAAGCTTCGCTATCTGATAACGATGGATGACGGCGATCCCCGCGACCTGTCACGTAGAGAGGCCGCAAGCACGTAGGTTCCCGAAGGCGTGGGGTAATCGCAGAGTCTGGGGAAGAGATAGGCTGGTGCCGTAAGGGCCATGCACTGGAACGGGACTGGAGAATGCTGGACACCCTCAGTGAGGGGGTTTGCCCACTACTCCAGATCCCTGCGCAAACGCATGGAGCCGCGGGCATAGTCTGACGACGGACATGTCTAGTTTTATTAGCACAAGCTATGCGTTGGACCAGCGTATTATTGTATTGCAGAGGGCCATTAGTCAAGTCACTGAGGATGAATACGTGCGTGAGTGGCAAGAATGATCACCCAGGAGAGTATGAGTAGTCAAGACTCATCGGCGATGGCCGAATAATGAGAAGCATGATATCAGCATGAAGCAGATGTTCACTCCGTCTGAGGTAGGAGAAGATAAAGATGGAAGGGGAAGGCTGATATGGATAGAGTGCGACAGATAAGGACTGGAGGGCAGTTTGGCAGCAAGAGGAAGGACCGACTTCAAGCTGAGTTGTTTGACCACGATTTCCATCCTCATCTAGACCTGACGGTACCTGACCTGTATGTACGAACAAGCGACTAAGACCAATACATAACGGACTGTTATCATTATCAAATCACTCAGGGTTGGAGCCCAGATAGTCTCCCTTATTGCCTATCACCAGACGAGGTCTTATCAAGGGGTGGAACTCATTGCCACAGACCCCACTGTGTAGCAGAGTTTTGCGGGCCAATCCCGCCACGAGGGCTGTTGAATTCTGTAATTCATGTGGTGCTTATGTCCAACTTCCATCCAATGAAAGATTTTGTGGCTGAGCATTACACGGCATGATTGGGACAGGGCATAAGCTTGTGCGCACTAGGGCTCAACCAGGACCCAGTTGGTTCTGTGGGGCATTTTCCACCTCTTCTCGAAACCGGTGCAGTGCACCGTTTCCATACCATGGGCTCTCACTTGCAACACGCGACACTGATCCTGAATCCACGGGCCGGTTTCTTTTTTTTTTTTTTTTCCCTTAATCATCTTTTTCCCGTTTCTTCTTTGAGTTACGCGGTCGCGGCGGTTTTCCGACTCGGAAGCGATCATTACATCGATCTGGATCCGGTGGGCCTTCGCTCGTCTCGGACTGGTGTGGGCGTAACTGTGTGGTGGGTAAGAAATTATTCGCCATGCCTCTCAGAAAATCACTTATTAGACGCTTCGATCCCACCCCTCCTACAGAGAAAGAAAGAAAAAAGAATGAAAGATGTGGTCGTCGTTTCGTCTTTCCTCGTCCCTCCCCCTCCCCCCTTGAGTTTATACTCAATACTCGAGCTTTTCAAGCTCTTGTATATACCAATCACCCTCAACCTCGAGTCTTTAGTACTCAACCCTTTCAATCCAACAATCTTACACGCCGTTGAGATATACGCGTTACATCATGTTCGGTGGTATTGATTCGGAACGGGACCTTGAAAAGGCTCCCCAGGTGGCCAAGGCGCCTATGGATGACAGCAGCGATGGCGCTGTCCCTGGGGAAAGCTTCATGTACGGCAACTCGGTCTACGCAAAGCTTCAGCGGCTGGCTGGAAAGTTCAACATTGAACAACGAGGTGTCGAGCGTGTCCCCGAGAACGAACGGACGGATACCTCGTACTTCAACATCAGCAGCATGGTGTGTACCTAGTCTACTGCATTATGCTTTTGTCTTGCTGGCTCTCCGCCAGTGCTCACAAGACCGCCTCCCAAACTGACCCCTCGCAGTGGCTGGCAGCCAACATGGTGGTTAGTTCGTTCGCTATCGGTATCTTGGGACCTGAGAGCTTCGGGCTTGGCTTCGTTGACTCCATCCTCGTCTGCCTTTTCTTCAACCTGATCGGTGTCTTGACTGTCTGCTGGTTCTCTTGCTTCGGTCCCGCTTTTGGTCTCCGTCAGATGGTTCTATCCAGATTCTGGTTTGGGTACTGGCCAACAAGATTCAGTAAGAATCCCTCGCCTCTAAGCTTCAGACACGGCGTGCTAATCCAATCGCCGCGCAGTCGCTCTTCTGAATGTCTTGTCCTGCCTGGGTTGGTCTGCGGCCAACTCTATTGTCGGCGCCCAGTTGCTCAATGCCGTCAACAGCGACGTTCCTGGTTTTGCAGGCATTTTGATCATCGCCGTCTGCACACTCTTCGTTACTTTCGCTGGATACAAGGTCGTTCACTTGTATGAGTTCTACAGCTGGATCCCAACCTTCATCGTCTTCATGATTGTCTTCGGCATGTTTGCTCACTCTGGGGATTTCTGGAACATTCCCATGGGGACCGGGGCCGCTGAGATCGGCTCTGTCCTGTCCTATGGTGCAACCGTCTATGGTTTTGCTACGGGATGGACCAGTTATGCCGCTGATTATACCGTTTATCAGCCCTCGGACCGCAGTCGCCGCAAGGTTTTCCTGGCTGCTTTTGGTGGCTTGATCCCTCCTCTCCTCTTTACTCAGTTCCTGGGCATCGCTGTCGCCACTGCGGCCATGGTTAACGATGGAAATAACAAGTACGCAACTGGTTATGCTCAATCTGGAAACGGAGGCATCATCTGGGCTATTGTGGAACCTCTCGGCGGATTCGGCAAGTTCTGTCTGGTTATCCTCGCCCTCTCCATTATCGCCAACAACTGCCCCAATATCTACTCCGTTTCTCTCACGCTTCAGGTCTTGAGTCACCAGACTCAGAGAGTTCCTCGTTTTATCTGGGTGTTCCTGGCCTCGTGCGTCTCTGTTGCCGTTGCTATCCCTGGATACTCGCACTTCGAGGAAGTTCTCGAGAACCTGATGGACTTCATCGCCTATTGGCTGGCTATCTATTCCGGTATCGCTATCGCTGACCACTTCATTGTTCGCCGTGGCTTTGGTGGATACCGTCCCGAGCACTACGACAAGCCCGAGAAGCTTCCTTACGGCTTCGCGGCTTGCATCTCTTTCGCCTTCGGCGTCGTCGGCATGATCACCGGTATGAGTGAGACCTGGTTCGTTGGACCCATCGCCAAGCGCTCGCATGGTGGTGATATCGGTTTCGAATTGGCCATCTTGTTTTCGTTCGTCGTGCATGCTATCGTCAGACCTATCGAGCTGAAAAAGTTCGGTCGGTAAATGCGTGCAACTTTCTTACTGTCTTTTTATATACAACAATTTGGGAATGGGTTTTCTTGGGAATAGGCTATCGTCTCGTTTTTTTTCATGTCTGTTATGAGGAATCAGCTTGTCTATGGTGGTTCCCAAGTGGAACCAGACGGCTTCCGTCATGCTAGCTGGTGTTTTGTACATAGATATTATTGTTGATTCTAATAACTCCCGTGCAGCTGAGCCGGGAAGTCGAATACGAATGAAGTCATCATGAAAGTTTTTGCTCCGAGACTGAATTTTTTCTAAGGACGTTATCATTGTCTAGCAATGTCGTTCTGCAGCACATGATTTGCAGACACCCATTGTTGCTTTCCACCTCGAAATCCTAGGTATAGCAAACCCTCGTAACATCTAGATCCAGGGTGACTTGCACTAACTCCAACCCAGATCGAAGCCTGCGATTGGAACATCAACGACGACTACTCGACCTTGATGCCTCTTCCAGGCCATGCAGGATAACTTCGCGTGGTAATCGATAATAGATTGTTCCTCCCGGTGCATCTGCCTCTACGGCGAGCCTTCAATTTGTAATTATGGCTGGGATAGAGCCAGCATGGCCCATCATTCAGGCAGTACCAGATGCGAAGAATTGTAACCCGGTGACGGAAGCATGTCCCAGAGCATCTGTAATGGCAATGCATCGGTGACCGATGGTTGCTTGATGAGGTAGCAGTGCGCATGTTCATATACCAGTCATATTTGAGGAGTCGAAGATTAGTAGTCACTCTCCTGGTGAGTAAGTTTGTTAATATCTCAGCTCTTTACTTACTGCTCACCATCTACTGTGGTCTCTTCAAGTTCGTCGTCAGCTTTCGACACGTTTACAGCATTACTCTATCTGTTATACCGTCGAGGCTGGCTGTAGTTGATTTGACTTAAGATACGTCTGTAGACGAGTGTGGCCAATTGTGACTGAATTATCTGTCTACAAGATAACGGATGTAATGAGCAGAGCAGTCAAGCGAGGGTTCGGTGTCCTTAAGGCGTAAACATTGTGTTGATGAACCTCATCTAATGGTTCGTTCGCATGTCTTCCCTTGCCCAAGAGCGACGGCCCTCACGTGATCAGTGACCAAGCACCAGCCACGGCAGGCTGCGCCACTTGCAAATTGCCGCGCCGCGAACAAATCCACAACGGATTCATTCGCCTTTCATTGTGAAATCCAGAAAACTAGCAACCCAAGGCCCATACGCAACCCCCCTCTTTCCATCACACATACCACCCACAATGTCTAAGCTAGGAAAGTAAGCATCTCGAAAGCCCCCAGTTGTCATTTTCGCTCGACCCCCCAAAAGCGAAGATCCCTCTTTCCATCGAACCCCATTTCCTCTGACAATATTTTTTTCCCTGTCTAGCCGCGCCGACTGGGCCGACGACGAGGAGTTTGACGACCCCTCCGCCCTCCCCGCACAGCAGATCACGACGAACAAAGATGGCACCAAGACCGTGGTCTCGTACCGCTTCAACGACGAGGGCAAGAAAGTGAAGGTCACCCGCCGCATCAAGACCACCGTGGTGCGGGAACACGTCAACCCCCAGGTCGCCGAGCGCCGCAGCTGGGCCAAGTTCGGCCTGGAGAAGGGCCACGCCCCGGGCCCCTCCTTCGACACCACCTCCGTGGGTGAGAACATCGCCTTCCGCCCCAGCATCAACTGGAAGATCCAGGCCCAGGAGGAGGAGAAGAACCCGGAGAAGGGCAGCATGAAGGACCAGCTCAGGGACAAGAAGGTCAAGTGCCGTATCTGCAGCGGCGAGCACTTCACCGCGCGCTGTCCCTTCAAGGACACCATGGCCCCCGTCGACGAGCCCGCCGGCGGTGCCGGTGGCGTCGAGGGCGGCGCCGACGAGGGGGCCGCCGCCGCCGGCGGCCTGGGCGCGACCTCCGGCAGCTACGTGCCTCCTCATCTACGGAAGGGTGCCGCCGGCGGCGGCGAGCGCATGGCTGGCAAGTTCGAGAAGGACGATCTGGCGACTTTGAGAGTTACGAACGTAAGTCATCTTCTTTGCTCTTGCTGCGTTACTACTTTTTTTCCCCTTCCTCTCTTTTCTGCGGGGGTGGGTGGGGTGTGGGATGAGCAGGCGGTTCTGTGTGTCTGTGTTGGCGACGGTGACGACTACACGCACACGCATACACCCCACCTACTCACTCAAATCCCTTCAAGGGAATTCTCACCTCCCGCGGAAAAGAACCGGGGAAAACTGTTCGCACCCCATTGCAAACAAACTCAAAAACTAATAACTGCAACAGGTCAGCGAGTTGGCAGAGGAAGGCGAGTTGCGGGATCTGTTCGAACGCTTCGGTCGTGTCACCAGAGTCTTCCTGGCCAGAGACCGGGAGACCCAGAGAGCCAAGGGTTTCGCCTTCATCAGCTTCGCGGACCGCAGCGATGCTGCCCGTGCCTGCGAGAAAATGGATGGCTGTAAGCTTCCCCCCCCCCCTTCAGCCTCTCAAGAAAACGAAAAAGAACTAACATCCTATCTCTTCTACACAGTCGGTTACCGCCACCTTATTCTGCGCGTCGAGTTCGCCAAGCGGGCTACTTAGATTCCTATTACCTCGTTTTTTCGTCCCCTAAACTCTCGCACCATCCCCCTTTCAAACTCATTCCCATCTTATTTCCGGTTCACGACACCTTGGCCGCTTTCCGTCAAGAAGCGGGTTTCCTTCATGATGACTTCAAGGATCCCTCAACTACTACTTCCTTTTCTTTGTATTGTATGATCCGATCGATAATGATGAATACTGAAAAAGGATTCCAAAGTGTCGATTTTTCTGCTAAGCTTCTTGCGTACATATATATAAGTGTTGTTGTGTGCGCACATTTGGTCGAGGTCTATACAAAAAGCAAGGGAAACCCCTCCCAAAAAAGAAGCAGTTGTCTCCTTTTCTAGTCATCCTCTTCACAATCCTCCTCTTCTTCATCCACTTTCTTGATATCTTTGCATGGTTTCATGTCATGGGATTTGGTTTTGATTATCTTCCTTGTGACTGGCAAGTCGGCTAGCTTGCTTGTTTCCTTGCTTGATGGTCTTCTTTGTGGTCTTCCACTCCCCCCCCCCCCGGCTTTAGCTTAGTTGAGTTTTCCTCCTCTTTTTCCTTGGATGGTTCGAGGGAGGCGAGGTTTTGCTTTGCATAAAGAAAAGTGCTCTTTTTGACTAGGTTCTGAGACGAGATCACGTTGCATTCAGGGTTAGCGTGGGCTTGTAGGCATGTCCCAATGATAGAAAGTCTGGTTCGACGTGGCCTTTACGATCATGTGAACGTAGGAGTAGACAGTTGCAAGCTGGGAAAGGGAGGGAGAAGGGTCAAGATGTCCCAATCCCTTCTACCAACCTCCGCAAATGCCCCCGGCAGGACTGTTAGTCTTCTTCGTAGATGCATTCATTCCCCTCCTCGGCCTCACCCCTGGTCCACTGTGCAGCAATTGCTTATGAAACTTTGTCCGATGAGTCAATCTACATCATTGCCAGCTGTTCTTCCCCTACCCACCAGGATTTTCTGAAAAGAATCCGTAGACGGGGCCAGAAGCGGGGCGGGGGGCGGCACTCTAGTCCAGTAATCGGCCAGAAAGGCTGGGAGATGGTTATAGGCCCCCACAGTCAGAGGAAGTGGCGGATGGGCGTTGACAGGCTGCGGCGAACAAACTATCGAAGTCAGTTTGTCAAGGCTATACTTACTGTATACAAGCTTCTGTCAGGCTGAGAAATGGCCTGTGGGCTAGGCCAGATGGTCAAAGAAGGATCAATAATACTCATGAGCTTCTGAGATTAGCGCTGCCCCCTCCCCAATCCGCTTCACGCACACCAACCCGCTATCTCTCTGCAAGAATCCCTTGTAAACATGGCTCTTTCGTAGATGCCGCAGGATAAGGCGCTCCTCAGTGGCAAGATCGGGGTCATGCCACATCTGAATTGGTCGATCTTCACGCCCAGGAGGGTAAGCATGACCAGACGAACAAGTATCAACATCAGTGCGTGATGACCTCCGCCCAAGCCGTCTGCCATTCAGATAAGCCAATGCCTGTTTTCTGGGGCGAGGCGTCTCGCCAAATCAGCATGATGGAGATGTATAGAATCTACCTTCGCAAGTGCACCAATGGCTATTGCTCGGAAGGTATGTGGATGGTGTGCTGACTCCGTCCGACATTGGTTACATTGCATGGACACGGTGTTGGATAGTTCTGTCAAGAATGGTCTTGTGTATCGCCCTGCGAGTAATTCCGTCAACTGTTGATATGCTCTCCTTCTGAACACACTCGCGAGCTCCTATCTGTGTTACCCTCGAGAGACAACTGAGCTGGCACTGGCCATTCACTGGAAGAGCCGAATCCCCACGGGACTCAGCATATCCGTCTCGCCAAATGGGCGTCTTGCACGCCACTCTCATCAACGTCACCTACACCAACCTTACCCAATCAAGTATAACGACCGTCCTATCCGGTTCGACTTGGTCGAAGAAGCAGATCCCATGGCTGAGAGCCAGCAGGCATCATACCTTCTCGGCTTTTTTTTTTTTTCGGTTCGTATTCCCTTGAGCAAATGCCTCGAAGGCGTCGATCAGCGTCGGTCCTATGGCCCTGTTCGTTGCTGCTGAGACTCCAAGGCTATACTCTACCGCTCGAGCGTCCGATCGAATTGAGTGGATGGGCATGACAGGGTGAATTCCCCGGCCAAACCTGGCTCCTTCTGCAGTATTTTCAGTTATGGACCGGCTCTTAGAGTTGCTGCTCGCGTTGACCTCGAAAGAAGTCTTCGCCGCGAGCGGGAGAATACCCAGAATACCAATTCCAGGCAGCAATTGATCCTGATCCCGTCGAGTCACACAAACAAGCCAGATTTGATAGCAACCCAACCAACGAAGACGGCCACGCGGAATAAGGAACAACAACACTAACTTGGATTTCCGGTACAAATGCCGAATTCCCTTGACAAGGTATTAGCCGCAGTATCGTCAGGTATGAGAAGAACGATTCGGATCAAAGAGGGTTTACAGACAAGAATTGGGATACAGCTAGGACGGAGCTGTTGAGATGGGTTTCGTCTATACACCTTGGCTCCAGATGCGCAGCATTCAAGGAGCAATAGCGGCCTGGCTCCTTCGATATTTCCAGAGATCAGTGGCATTGACTCAAGGACAGCCCAGTGTGCTGAGGTCGCCGTGGTTTAGCTCTTCAGTTCAACCGGGCAAATCACAAGTAGACCGGGAAGAACCGGTATACCCTCGGACCCGACGCTACCAGAGAAACCAACGATGCTCCTGCCTAGAACACGCGCGTAGTAGCACCTGTGCGTCCGCCACGGTATATTTCCTCTGGTAATGATGCTCAACCGCATATTAGCTCGACCACTGAAGAAAGCTGCTACAGCTTGAATTGAGATATAGAACCGGATACTCTCGGAAGGCTACTTCTGCCAGAACCGGCTGCCCGGTAAGAATGATCGGATAGAAAGGCTAATATGCAAAGAGATGATTGTAATCCGCATAGCAGCCCAGGTAATAGAGCCAGGATTCTGTCAAGGATCCATTCAGTTGTAAAGTCTATTGAGAATCCCGGAGATTAAAGCCGAATGTTCTGGACTCGCCCCAAGTGCAGCTGCTTCGATCGGCAAGACGACGGCCTGGCGGGGCTTTGTTGATAGTCCAAACCGTAATATCGGCCGTCTGCAGCCCAAAACATGTCAGGACAGGCTTCTTTGCCCCAGTTTGGATTCGAAAATGTACTGTAATTATCCTGTGGTTGCACAGGAGGCTGCATCGGGAGACGTATCAGCCACTAGCACGGGTAAAAGTCAGCAAGCAAAAAGAATGGATCGCGTTCTGATTAAGAAAGACCAGAGCCGTGCATTAATCGGAAAGGAACCAGTGGGCGCAATTTGGTAGCGATGCTACTTCTGAGACAGGTCCAACACATTCCCACCCAGGTTAGAGAACTGGGCCCTCGTTAGAGCCTTGTTCGAACCTTAACGTAGGAACGGTCATGAATAAATGAACAGCTCCTCAATCCGAGTCTTTCGGGACTGGACTCCAGTCGAATAAGAGAAAAGAGAATGAACAAATGCCTTCGAAGATGCTCTGTTATGTCCATCGGCCAACGTAATGATGACTCCGTTAGGACTGGCCTCTCTGATTCGCGAGCTGGGGCTCTGGAAATTACCTAGCAGCCCGATAAAGTCTTGGCCCAGTACTCTGTAACTGGAACAAATGCGAAGTTTTTTAAGGTTTGTTGCTTAGGTAGACACAGCCCTGTCAGCCATATCTTGGAGCAGAGGAAGGAGATGTTCGGGGCGTTGTCGGTACCCGGCTTTCGTTCCATCGTTCTATCGTTACCAGGACCAATAGAGCTCAGTTCCTGCTCCGACGAAGAAAGATGACACCGCACTGGCGCTGACTATCATGATGAGCCATAGAAACAGAAAATTGTGGAGGAGACGGACGACTGAATCGGTTGTTGGTTGTTGGCGCAATAATAACAATGGTTGTTAAATGGTTGTAAATAAGAAGGTACCAGTCGGCATGGCACTAATCCCTTTCCAGCAATTCCCTGCACGTGCCATGAACCCTCCCGGCACTAAGAGGATTTGCCCATGGCCCATAGCCCATGGCCCAGTGATTCTGAAATTCTGAATTAGTTTTGATAGACTAAGGTACAGTACACTCCTACTACTTATTTAACACTTACTATGAACAGTTAGTACGGTCGGTACCTATACATCTGTAATGTATTTAGTCTCCCACAACCGTTCTTGCTTTTGTATCCGCGATCACGTTTGTGGAAAATGCATCCCTGCAATCACCATGTCCAATTGTTCGTCCTGAAGATCTCAATGGGTTTGATTCTGTAGATTGGCATTGGCACGGCAGAGTTCTCGAGTTCTCTAGTAGAGAGATCTCATTCTCATGTTGAGATGCGCGTGAGATCATACCGTATCTCCTTTCTACCATGGGTCCATGGGTCCATCGATAGATCATTATCCCAATCAGCGGGCCCAGCTCTCAAGTTAACCCTGGCTTGAAATAATGCAACGTCCTTCACGTCCCAGCCTTGTCTTGACTCTCGACCCCCTCCCCCTCCCCCCACCCCCCTGTTCAAGGTTACTATGGGATTCGCGCCGCATCCCGCGGGCACGTCCTGCACGACATCCATCCTCCACTAGGGACTGACTCTATACGCAGAATTTGCAGTCCTTCAATGACTGGCTTCGAGGGAAAAATCTCACTCGGACACTACCAATGATGACTTCTTGGCGGCTTATTTCAGCACCGTGCATATCACATCTGGACCAACTAGCTTCCTGCAGGTCTGGCCGATCATCCAGCCACAGAAAACCTCTCCCTTTAGGAAGAAAGAGGGGGGAAGGAATAAGAAAACATTGACCAAAATGTCCAGATGAAATAACAAAAAACAAAAAAAACAAAAATCCCCCACTTCCGCAAACTCCATTCCTTTCCAGATCCAGTGAAGTCACTTAGGCTGTCTTACCTGGCAGTGGGCCTAATCAATTCTGGAAAACATGCTGTGCGCAGCACATGTACGCTCCACACCG